GCACCAAGTCGTTCAAATCCTGTTTCAAAGATTTAATAAGAAAACACTCCACTTTCAGCGTGGCACTAATTTTACTATTTCACCTGCGTAATTAATTAGCTCCTTTTAAATTTATTCGTAATTTTCACGGAGTATACAGCTTTCAAGACATAAAAGACATGAATTGCGTACCTCACGTACACAATATTTACAAATTCGGTCCCTACCGCAAAGAAAACACAGCGTGTCTCCATTACAAGAACATAAGCGACCCTCTGCGGACAAAATGTACAGTTTTTAACGTTAAAGCACAAACGACTTCAGCTTCAAATCTTTTTATACACAGACTAAATGTGTGTGCACATGTTTCATCTTCGAAACTACGAACACTCCTGCTTCGTATTCGGGAGGTTCCGGGTTCAAATCTCGAGCCGGAGACCGGTTAACCTGACTGGGGTTTTTCGTGATTTAACTCAGTCCCTCCAGGCGAATTCAGGGATAGTAACTTAAATTAGGCCACGACCGATTCCTTCCACACAATTTTCAATGCATTCCTCGCTATAATCCTCTGATTCGACGCCATGCAGACTGAGCTACTGAAGAAGCGTCATTAAATAAACTATAAATAAATAAAATACTAGTTGAATTTCAGTGAAATCTTATATTGTATGACTAAACTAAAATTGGTCGAGATAATTGTAATGTATTCTTATCGGTCCAATATATCATCCAATTTACATGAAACTCGGACCGGAAACCATAACCTCATTCGAACAATGTTTGACTTGACAAACGCTAATCTGAATGTATTGAAACATGAAACAACCCTGCCTGAAGCAGGGCGTATCCAGTGTATTCAGCATTATGTCAATAAAGTCCACAATTCCATGGAAGGCACACTGCCACAAGCAAAGGTAAATAAGTAAGTATCTACGTACACTGTTTAAGCTGTTAATGACTAATGAGAAGTTTATGTACACTACTCGAACGAACGCTTCCATAAATGCCGCATTGTTGGTTCTCACATCACAGGTGACTGTATGATATACGTAGAAAATGAGACTGGCTTTTTGTCATGAAATTACCGATATGTTCCAAACACACACTTATAAAAATAATGTAATTTTCAGATTAACAATGTAACGTAACATAAGGCTATATGTATCTTTACATTCCTTTACAGGGGTGTGGCGAGTTCTTGACACCTGCCACCTCATTGCGCTAGTATCGCCAGTACCAATGCCACGGTTACTACAACACACTGCAGGTACACACACATACCATGGATTTATAGTTGTACAGTAGTTGCGAGATTCATACGCACGATTAAAATTTCCCTCCGCAACTTACCTGCAGACCCAGACTGCGATGTAAATATTCCAGGGCACCACAAAAACAGGGGCACAATATCTAAATGTTGAGCTTCATTGTTGTACAGTTG